TAATCACAAGGTTGGTTCCCCTGGCAACCAGCCTCCATCCTTAGGGGACCTAGGGGCTTCCCAAAGCTCACCTCATTAACATAACAAAAGACATTTAATGCTCTTGCCGCTTAGGAAATTCTGAGGGTTTTAGGAGCTCTGTGCCAGGAACAGGGACGAAGACCAAATATATATTTCTTATTATAAGTCGTTATATCACACAAGGTCATGTGTCTGGGGAGTAGTATGGGCTGAAGGAATGAGAAGGGAGGAGCCAGGAGCCAGGCTGCAAAGGGTTTGGGCTCTGGTCTGTAGACCCACATCTTCCAAACTTTTGTCCCTCATCCACACTGCCACAGTTTATTTCTTCCAGATGTACGTGTTTGTCCATCACTTTAAAAAAATTAATTAATTTATTTATTTTTGGCTGCGTTGGGTCTTGGTTGCTGCGTGCAGGCTTTCTCTAGTTGCGGCGAGTGGGAGTTACTCTTCGTTGCGGAGCACAGACTCTAGGCGCGTGGGCTTCAGTAGTTTGTGGCACGTGGGCTCAGTAGTTGTGGCTCGCAGGCTCTAGAGCGCAGGCTCAGTAGTCGTGGCGCACGGGCTTATTTGCTCCGCGGCACGTGGGATCCTCCTGGACCAGGGCTCAAACCCATGTCCCCTGCATTGGCAGGAGGATTCTTAACCACTGTACTGCCAGGGAAGCCCTCCATCACTTTAAAACTTTTTCTTCATATTGACTTACTTGTTTTATTTAAAGAATTTTATTTTTAGAAGAAACATTGTCTTCATCACAAATGGAAAACCAGCCTTCCTTTTCATAAACAGAAATGAACTATAAAAACAAAAACAATGACACCAAAAACGAATTAGGAAATTCTAGCTAGATACTGTAGCCTGTGGAAGGCTAGTCAGATGAAGAGAAAGAGAATTGAAAAAGGGATCACTTTCTCGATGTCCTTTTACCCCACACCCATGTTCCACTTCAAATCATCTTAGGGACCCCAGGGGTTTGTGTCCCCCACCTGGATTACCCCAGGGGTATGTGTGCCACACTTCTGGCTAATGCAAGCCAGGAGGTACCGTGAGCAGGAAAGAGAGATGGGGTGCTAGGAACAGGGTGCCAGCGCCCGAATCTCGGTAGAGAGGGAGGAGGGCGCTGCCTGGAGTAACGCTCTCTCTTTCAATTTAGCAGTTGAGACCAGGACCCGGAAGGAGACAGTGTGCGGAGGATAATGAAGAACTTAGCTGAGGATACACTGAGTCTGAGATGTGGGCACATCCATGTGGAGATCCATTCATTTGTTCAGAGTATTTCTTGAGCACCTACTATGTACCACACTCTGTTCTAAAGCCCCAGGGTACAGCAGTAGACCAACCAACCCCAAATCTCTGTCTCCGTGAAGTCTACCTTCTAGTGGGAGAGGCATGGGAGACCTGATGAGAAATCAAGGACAATATTTCATACAATATATCATAACTGATGTCACACTAGATAGCGATGTTTACTACAGGGGACATATCTGGGTGGGAGATGTGGAAATTGAGATACACCCAAAGCATTTGGCTATATGGGTCTGGAGTTCAGGGGAGAGATCTGGGCTGGGGAGACATATTTAGAAGGCATCATTCATTCATTCATTCATGCACTGAACCAATGTCTCTTGAGCACACTCTGTGGGCCAGGCACTATGCTGGGTGCTGGACAATACAGTCCCTACCCCATGAAACTCTGGTCTAGATTTAGTAAAGGTTGTGGTTGGCTACAATCTGTATGGACACAGATAAGATTCCCCGTGGGGTGTGTGTGTGTGTGTGTGTGTGTGTGGCCCAGGACAGGCCTTGAGGATTCCCAACATTTCAGGGAGGGCAGAGGAGGCCTGGGAAGGGAGCCTGTCCAGGAGCAAACAGCCTGCAGCAAGAAAACCAAGAAAGGCAGAGCCTCAAGAACAAGGGAGAGGCTGGTGCCAGGGGACGCTAGGGAGTGAAACAGGCCTGGACCTGGTAGCTGCTGTCCGTGGAAGCAGGCTCCAGGCAGAAGTGCTTCTGCGCAGAGACGGCTGAGGAGTGGGTGTGCTCTAAGGAAGCGGAGACAGAGAGAGGAGACTGCTTTCGAGAACTGTGTCTGGGGAGGGAAAGAGAGACAGAGACAGAGAGAGAGAGACAGAGACAGAGAGAGACAGAGAGACAGAGGCAGAGACAGATAGAGACAGAGACAGAGAGACAGAGAGAGGGCAAGTCGGAGGCTGGTGGAAGGAAGCTTTGGTTGTCTGCAGATGGAAGGGACCAGGACAGCTATACGTGGTGATGGGAAGAAGCCTGCACAGGGAAAAAGCTGAAAACACAGGGGAGTGATGGTGTTTGGAGGTGGAGGGCTCAATCTTGGAGAGAAAGAATGACTCCATGTCAGGAATGGCTACGGAATTTGAGGGGCTCAGGGCAAAATGAAAACTCAGGGCTTCTTCTTCAAAAAGTACTAAGAATTCAAGATGGTGACTCTTGGTACCTGGATGGGGGGCAGGCAAGAGGCTCGCTTCGGCTGAGTTGCAGCCTCTGGCCACCCGGCAGACACACCTGGGGTGGGAACGGTCACCGCCATACTCTTCACCAAGATCCCATGAGGTGAGCAACCAACCTCCACCCTCCCTTGTGCCCTCCTTGTGTCCAGCCCCCTCCAGTGGATACTGGATGCAGGGGGGAAGCGGGAGGCCAAGTAGTATCTAGAGGGCCAGGGGGTGCAGGAGCCGGTGGCTATGACCCTCTCCCGGGGGGCAGGCAGATGGCTGGAGGTGGAAGTTTCGAGCAGAGACTCCAAGCCCTTGGCACATGCCTCACTGTCCCATGGGGCTTCCCTTACAAAGCACAGATTCAGAAATAAAATTATTAAGAATTTTAGGAAAGGGACCTCAGAGCATCAAATTCCAAGCACAGGGCCCTGCAGCACTAGTGCCCTGGTGGCCTGTCCATGAAGTTCAGCCCTGCCCCACGTTCACTTTAACAAGAAACGGTGGATGTGACGGAGGTACGGAGCAGGCAGAGATCTGACAGAACCCTCCGGAAGTGGAGATTGAGTGGCAAAAATGAGGGAGAGGATGGTGATGGGTGAAGGGCTTGAGGAAAAAGAAGGCTGGGATGTGTCCAGATGAATGAGGAGTATCTGTGGATTCGTTTCCTATTGCTGCTGTAATAAATGCTACAAATCCAGGGCTTGAAATACAAAAATGTATTAGCTTATAGTTTAGGGTCAGAGGTCTGAAACTGGTCTCACTGAGCTAAATAGCAAGGTGTCCGCAGGGCTGCATTCCCTCTGGAGACGCGAAAGGAGAGTCTGTTCCTAGACTTTCCCAACTTCTAGTGGTTGCCTGCATTCCTTGGCACCTGGCCCCTTCTTCCATCTTCAAAGCCAGCAGCGGAGCATCTTCAATTCTCTCTCTGACTCTAACCCTCCTACATCCTTCTTTCACTTATAAAGACTCTTGTGATTATATCAGTCCATCCACGTAATCCAGGATAATCTCCCATCTCAGGGTCACTTAATTAGCAATTGAGATTCCACCTGCAATCTTGATTCTCCCTTGCAGTGTAATATGTCCACAGTTTCCAGAGATTAGGACGTGAACATCTTTAGGGGTCCATTATTCTACCAACTACAGTCTTTAAGGCTGCTTTATGGCTTTAAAGCTGCTTTGTGGCTTTTCTTGTTTAAACCAAGAAAATCTACGTGGTTTAAACAAAAGCATGTTTATGGTTTATTTCAGAATCCAGAGGTCGATTTGATCACTTGATGATATAATCAAGGACCCAGGCCCTTTTTTTTCTCTCACTCTGCCCCACTCAGAGCACTATCTTTCTTCTCCTAGCTTGCCCCCTCATGATCACAAGATGGCTGCCAAACCACCAGACATCACATCCAAAGCAGAAGAGAAGGTGGCAAAGGGGACTTCCTTAACACTGCTCTCTTTGACTAGAAAGGAGAACTGCGAGCTTTCTCTGTGGTTCCATGGCAGAGAGGAAGGACAGACAGACCAGATATGTTGACCAACTCAAGCTGAATTTACCAGCTGGAAATCAGGAAATGCCATTTCCCAGATGGGGTGGTGTGTCAGTGTGTAAGAGTGAGGGGTCCAAGTGGCCAGAGTCAGAGATCAGTCTATGGTTGGGGTCAAAGATTATTCTGTTGCCAGGGCTAGGGGTCAGCAGGTGGCTGGGGTCAGTGTGCAGCTAAGATCATGAATAGGTCCACAGCATGGGTCAGGAATCAGTCTACAGCTGGGTCAGAGGTCATTCTGTAGTTGGAGTCAAGTATCAAACTGGAGCTGGGATCAGAAGTTTGTTTAGTGTTTCTCTCTCTCTGCATCTTGGTCTCTCTTGTTTTGTTCTCCTTCTCTGGAAAGACCTGTCTTATATAATATATATGAATATATGATGAGAAATGCACGACAGAAACCTCTGCAAAGATACAAACACTGACTCTGCACATGGACCATGTCTAGAAGGGATGTGGACACATACACAGTTGGTGGGGTGATGCCATCGGGACCATTTCTGTGTCGGATTTCTATTGGTCCAGTCTGTCCTTTTCAAAATAAAGTGACATTAAGTTTAGAATATTATTATCTCCTTTAATTATGTTTTATGACACCCACAGACCCATTCAGTATAATAGCAATAATGCTAGGAAACGCTTGGACAGCATTACTATGTGCAGGCACCATTCTGAGCCTTATGCGTATTAACATATTTAATTCTAACAACAGCTCCATGAGGTCAGTACTATTATTATTCCCATTTTACAGAAGAGGAAGGAAGCACCTAGGGTTCCATGACTGGCCCTGAGCCACACAGCTGGTCCTCGGAGCACCCTGAGTTCTGAATGTATGTCAAGCCCTTTGCCAGGTGCTGGAGGGGATGGAGGAGAAAGACAGGGATGAAAGAGAGGAGAGGTCGGGAGGGTGGAGGTAGCCCAGGCCTAGTTTTCTGGGCTTTCTGGGCATGGTACCTCCATAGGCACAGAGGCAGGCGCTGGGCAAGAGTGAGCCACTAGGGGGCAGCAGGGACCAGTGAGCTGGTCTCCAGCCAGTCTGATCTCCACTGGCCAGGCGTCCTCAACTCATTAATAAAGCTGGAAAAGGGTGGGATTTTGAGGAAGAACTGGCACTGTCCTGCTGCTGTCAGGAAGCTCAGGCCAGTTCGTCACAAGAGCAGCTGGGCATCGCCTGGCCTTCACCCATCAAGACATCTGCTCCTCACTCCACCACTGTGGGCTGCAGGGTACTTCTCTTATCCATCTTTGATGGGGAGGAAACTGAGACCCAGAGTGGTCAACACCTTGCCCACAGTCACACGGCTCCGAATTGGCACAGGCAGGTTCAAACCTAGGCAGGATGAGTGCAGAGCCTTGCTTCTCTGAGTCTCAGTGTTCTCACCTGTAAAAGCGGTATAAGAATCTAGGCAAACGGCAGACAAGAGTGGTAAGGAGTCAGGGTACGTCATGGAAAAGTCTCGCACAGAGGTCTCTGGCTGCTGTGAGGATCCGGTGAGGTCATGCCTCCCTTGCAGCGGGGGCTCAGAAACTTCTTGCTGTTTGTGCTGTTGTTTTTTTAATCAATAACTTTCGTGGGAAAATAATGTCAGACAGGTTATTCAACAGGATGTTAACGGAGATACACCTTCAAAAACAAACATACATTTTGGGACCGCCCACGAAATGCCAGGTGCTGGGGAGGGGGTCAGGATTTCCGGTGTTTTTCACTTTCCTATTTATTAACCTAAAACGTTTAGGTTTTCCCTGAATCGGAGAAGGCTGGCACGTGCCGATTTAGTAATCAGAAAAAAGCGGTAAGTAGGGGTTTTGTTTTTAAAAAAAAAAAAACTAAAGCGGAAACGACGCCCCCATCCTGCCATCCCCACCTTCTGGAAAAATCTTTGTAAAATTGAGGCGGGGGGTGTGCGGGGCTAGGGCGGGGGGACCCCGAATTCAATGCCTCTGGAGGTCTCCTGGGTTCTTCTGAGACCTTCCAGTCTCCGGCCGCGCCCAGGCCCCTTTGGTGCTGCTACCCTGGGGAACCCCTCCTGCTCTCCATACCTCTGGTCCAGACCGGCGAGGGGCGCTGGGAATCTCACGCGGCCAGCATCTCGCTCCGCCCACACCTGCCGCCTACTTCCTACTTGGTGGGGCGGTCCCCCGCTGGTCCCACCCGATCCATTAGACCCCGCCCCTCAGTAGCTCTGGGGCAAACGTTTGATGCAACCTGTCTCTCCTCTCTCCTTTCGTCTCTTGGGACCCTATCCTCTCTCCTCCACGCTGAGGCAATTGCTAAAGTTGTACCTTGGACTGTAATGATCTAGCCGTGTCCTCCTGTCCAATACCAATAATGTAATCACTAGCCACTTGGGGCTATTTAAAATTTGGGGGGGCTGTTTAAATTTAAATGTTAATTCAATAAAATTAAAAAATCAGTTCCTCCGTCACACTAACCATATTTCAAGTGTGTAATAGCCACACGTGGCTAGTGCCACTGTATTGGACAACGTGAAAGCTCTCCATCACAGCAAAAATTCCTGTTGGATAGCGTTATTCCGGACACTCATTTGTCTTGCTATAAACCCCTTCCTAACGTAACAGAGCGGGACCTTCTGGGGCCTTCTGGGGCCAGACCCCTCCCCCATATCCTCTGCTGTAGCTCCTCTATGAGGTATTGATATCTAGATAATAGCATCTGATGCACATTTCGTCAGTTGTTTTTACAGATGCTAAAACCACCACTAAATGGAAGAAAGTTAACTGCTTGATACTGATGACCCCAGACCTACTGGCGCCTAACAATTGATACCTCACCATCAACCAATCAGAAAACCGTGCACGAGCTGATCACACACCCTGTGACGCCCCCGCC